GAGGTAGTCTTGGACCTGGTGTTGAGGACTGCCAGGCTGTTGATGCTGGGGACCTCAACATCCATGCTGAGGCTACCTTGACTGGGGCGGCTCAGGACCTCATGGCTGCCATGACATCCATGGGGCTGTCTCAATGTGTCATCGGCCCGACACATGAGAAGGGCCATACCTTGGATCTGGTTGTCTCAACGGGACTGGAAGATGGTGGTTTGGATGTGGAGGGGCTGGTTGTGACCCCATTGTCATGGTCAGACCACTTCCTGGTCAAGTTTAGAATCCTAATGTAATAGACGTTTATACGGGCTCCAATGGAATTCTTAAGTAAGACATCTTTCCTGCTTTTGCTTTTAATATCATTTAAAAAAATTAACATGTGTACTACATTTTCTCTGAGGTGTCATTTACATTTTTATTTTATTTCATTTTGCTTGCCTCTTGAATGACCGTGCTCCACTGTTCAGTGGTCAGCTTTGTGTGCAGATAATAACCCTGTGGCAGGTTGCATCCAGCAAATAAGTTCTGCATGTTGAAACGTGTTTGTCTCATTGCTTCTGTATGAACAAAATCTTCAGCTGCTCTTCTAGACCAAATCCAGTAGTCTAGAAGTCTATTATCTCAGTCTCATATGTCTTTTCTAGTGAAATGCAATGGAAACTTACTAAGAATTATTTTTAAGATAAGAACCAGAGCCTAGAAAAGTTACTTTTTTGGACTACAGCTCCCAGTGACCATGCTGGCCATGAGAATCCCAAAGTCTATATTCTAAGAATAAGACAAAGTGGATTTTTTTTTGTTAGAGTGTAGGGAAGCCACATGTGTAGTAGCAAGCCGTTATCAAAGATATGATTCACAGTGACTGACTTTTATGTAATCTGTAAAGCTCTTTATTTTGTTGTGACAGGCTCTGGATTCAAATTGTGTTCTTATTACCAGCAGGTGGTAGAAGTTGTCAAATACAGTGCTAGTTGTCTATGCATTTTGTATAACTTTGCATCTCAGAACATCTTCCACTTTTGCCTCTTCTTTCTAGGAAAGTGAAGAAAGGTTCTTTGCTAATAGATTCCAGTACTATTGATCCTGCAGTTTCAAAAGAACTAGCTAAAGAAGCTGAAAAAATGGGAGCTGTTTTTATGGATGCCCCTGTTTCTGGTGGTAAGTCCATTTGGTAAATATACAGCTTTTCCTTGATAGTTGTTGTGGCCATTGTTTTATCTGTTTCTGTGCATAACGAATGGAAAGTTTTGTTTGTTCTGGCATAGGAATGGATGAATTAATTAATTTTAGTTTCTATTTTTTTTTCATTTCATTTCATTCTCTTTTCAGTGTCTGTGATTGTGATTGGTACAGATGTGTTAATTTGTGATTGGTGAAACTGAAGATGAATATGTTAAGGCATTTCTCATATGTGTTTGTCCTACTGTGTAGATTTTGGTATTCACTTCAATTCTCCATAATAGATACAGTTTCACAAACAATAATATAATACATGTTTGAAGTTGAGCAGCATGCAGACATTTTACTTACTGTCCCTGAAGAGATGCAGATTTTTTATGCATTTCCTTTTTTCACATAGGAACTGCATCATAAAATTGAGAGAAGTGTGGTATTAAAGAACAGTGGTGTTTCAATTCACAAAGTACAAATGCAAATTAATTTCTCACTTATTTCTACAGTGGCATGGCAGTATGTGTGTATGTATGTGTGTGGGGGGGTTACATGTTACTGGTAGGGTTCCTGTGCCATGCATTGAGTTCAATATGTATTTCAGTTGAAAATATTTACATCCACTTTTTCTATGTTCTTTTAGTATGTTCAGAGAAAATATCAGACTACTAGCGATATTCTCTAAAATCTGCTCTCTTTTATGTAAAGAGTACAAGCCAGCATAGAATCAAATATACTTAATTCATCAGGATTTAATGAGACTTAAAATATTTCTAGCCATATGCTAGTTTGTAATTGTGCACTTTGTGTGATGCAGTGGATAGTGTGACAGACTAGGTCAGGAGAACAAGGTTCAATTCCCCGCTTGGCCATGGAAAATCACTAGGGGAGTAAACTTGGTAAAACCATTCCTTAAATGCCATACGTGGGGCTGCCTTTGAAGATGGTCCGGCGACTGCAACTGGTCCAGAATCGAGCTGTGTGGCTGGTGAGTGGTGCAGCTGCTAGGGAACATACTCAGTCGATTCTGTTCAAGCTACATTGTCTACCAGTTGCTGCCCGGGCCCAATTCAAAGTGCTTGTTTTGACATATAAAGCCCTAAATGGCTTGGGCCCTGGATACCTGAAGGACCGCCTCCTTCCATATGAACCTACCCGGCAGTTAAGATCTAGCTAGGGGGACCTTTTGAAAGAGCCGTCCCTCAAGGAGGTAAGAGGAACGGCTTGTAGACAAAGGGCCTTTTCGGCAGCTGCCCCCAGACTATGGAATGCCCTCCCGACTGAGATTCGTCTGGCGCCGACGCTGATGACATTTCGGCGCCAGGTCAAAACCTTCCTGTTCCAGAAGGCTTTTAATTGAAATAGGTCAAAACCTTCCTTTTCCAGAAGGCTTTTTAATTGAAATAATATTAGCTGTGGGCCCGATGGCAATTTTAATATATATTTTAATTGTATTTGTGGGCGGCATATAAATTAAATAAATAAAACAAATATATGTTGTAGCATTCGTTAAATAATTTCTTCCTTGACCTTTCAAAGCTAGCATTAATCTGTACGTGTGTACTACAAACAGGCCCTCTGGGGAAGAAAGAAGTCTCTACTTTCTGAGAAGTTATGGCTTTACCCCTATTAAAAATGCCTTTGTATGTAAACATGGGGGCGGGGGCGCAGGTTGTTTGGCTATTATATAAGGGGGTTGCCATTCCAAAAAGATTGGGAACCACTGTCTTAAAGAGAATTTATGGTTGTATGACAGCAAAATATGAGGCGACTCTAGTAGGTTCATAATGGAAATGTACCTTCCCGGCTATTGGCCAGTCCTTTTATACACAACTGAAAAAATAACTGAAAGGGGGCAAGAATGTGCCTAAGAGGAAGAACTGTACATGCAGACAGAAGAAAGCAGGCTGATAATAAAGTAGGTGTCTGTAAAACAACCAAAAAATGAAATAGAATTGAAGGAGAAATTTAAATTCTGAATGGTTGGGGCATTTAGAAAAACACTGTAATGTAATAATATTAGCAATAGTGATACCCAGTGTGATGTAGTGGATAGATTGATGGACTAAGGAGGCCTGGGTTCAAATCCCCGCTCAGTCATGGAAACTCACTGGGTAAATGGAATTGGTAAAAACCCTCCTTGAGTATCTCCCTTCCTTTGAAAGCCCTATTATATAAAAGAGGCAGTATACTCATTTCTAATGGTGATAGAATCCCAAAATAGTGATTTCAAACACCTGTAGAAAATGCTGGCTATGGAATCTAGGAGGAATAATTTTGCAAGAAGTGTGAGATATAAATACGTATTGGAAAAGTCTTCCAACAAAGCTGAAGAACACGCTGTGACTAAATATTACACATTGTGTTCCCTTCCTGGTATGAAGTGTGACTTAACAGATAGCTTATTTGAAGTGCGACTTCTCAGCCTACTTTTAAAAAACTAACTTGGCTAAAAAATTTCTCTATAGGTAAATAAAATAAACCTATGTATTTTTCGAAGTGCCAATAAAAATCCAGTTCCTTGATACTGTATTTTATAGAATGTCACACTTTCAGAACATTTTAACCTGCTACTGTAAACCAAGACCATCATCAAGGTTGAACAGTTTGCAACCCCAAATAACTTCTCATTGATCTCGAAGGACATAAGACCTACTACTGGCTTCCTCTTAGCTAAGGTCATCTTCACTGCTTCATTTGTTTCTGCTAGGGCTGATTTTTGGAGAAAAACCGTCTTAATTCAGAAGACATATCACAGAGGTCATGGGGCCACAACAGCTGCAAGAAAAAGATTAAAAGCAGTGAATAGCCAGAATGCTTCGCCATCATTTCAACATTATCAGCTCTTATTTTCAGAATATTTTGAGTGCTGGCAATTAGCTTTAATAAGTTTGAATGGTACAAACACAGGCTGTGTCAAGAGAACTCCAATAGGAAATAAACATTAAGATGTAATAAGTAACAGGTGTCCACACATACATCTAAACTAGTGTACTTACATTGCATCTTACGGTTCACTTTAATTGTAATGTGTTTCAGGAGCCAAGCTTGTTTGAAGTGAAAAGTAGGGCAAAATTTTAATAAAGAGAGACCACGACGAAGAATGCTGTAATATTAAAGCTAGCTTTTTAGTCATAATATCGTATCCTTCACTATCAAATTCAACTAACACTATATTGCATTATACAAGACAGGAAGGTTTGAGATACAGCACTTTACTTGGGTACTACCACGATGAATGTTGCTAAAAGTGGTGATCACTGTGGAGCCATCACAAATTGTTTTTCAATAAAATGGAATTGGAACCCAAGATTTATATTTTTTTTATTTTGGATTTTATGTCATTACAGAACAACTTTGATTGGTGACCTACAGTTGCCATGATATAAGTGCTAAATGTTTAAGAGTACACATACTAAAACAGTTAACATAAAAGAATATGTTGCAATCAATATGTTGCAATCAATCCATTGCTGTTTTCAATGGTGTATATTTCTGAAAGCAGATATAAGGCAATAGGAACCAGATGAAAAATGTAAGAAATTAGGTGGCAAATATGCTGTGTATGCATAACACATAAATCAGACACAACAGAGTTCATTCTTAATGCTCTTTGAAAATGTCTGTGGCACAAATGAAAATGAAGCACTTTAAAAAAAGCAGTAAAGTGCAGTCCCAAGAATGTATTCTGGAAAAAAACCCTTTCACCTTCTCCTAAAAGATCCTTTAAATTGTCATTTTCAGCAGAATATTCTTCATGTGTAAAAATTACAGGAAACAAATATTGATGATAATGTATACTTGATGTCTCAAGAGAAAAAAATCTAGAAACATAAGCGAGTATTGCAACAGTTTTACTTCATTCAAAGACAAAGTTTCAATCAGTCTTGTAATTCTGTGAAGTACTATATAAAATATACACATAAAAAGAAAACCAAAGCCTGTGAGCAGGTGACTACACTACTACATTTGGAAATTTGCAACACAGAAAAGCATTTGCACTGTACAGTTCTTTAACAGTGAAGCAATGCATTACACTAGTATTTCAGCAATGACTTGTCTATAAACTGGGACAAACGTACAAGGCACAAATTCAGTGCTCTCAGTAGCCACATCATGCTCAGCCACTATTTAGTGTGATAAAAACAAGCTGCTATGAGTCTTTGGCTTGTATACTCCTGCCACCTCCCCACCTGCAGAGCCAAAAGGAGTCTTTCATTAACGACACTAACTTGTCAGCCAAACCCTAAGTTCTGGATAATATTCATTATGGTTTGTTTATATTTAAAGCAGTTTTATAACTGACGGCTTGAAGCTGACTTATTTCTGCAAACTATTTCACATCAACCATAACATATTTGTATGGTATGATGAGTTGTGATTAATGTAAACAGGAAACAAGAATTTCCGACCTATTCCATGTAGCATCAGGACAGGAGAAATGCACAAGTATGAAGTTTGCAATACTATTCCGCCCCTGTCCCCCTGCCCACACTAAACTAAGGCTTAGTATGATGTCCAAAACCTGTCCACTGCAGTATTGTTACACTCAGGCACTTCTCTAAGATGTGTAATTCTTAGTAAAGGCCTTTAGGGGAAAAACACTTTCCAAACCATTGACATATTTAGTTATTTTATTACTCAGGTAGATAGTGAATAAGATCAACTTCTCTTGGCACCTCTGAGATATTCATTAGGCTGAATGATACTCAAGTCTCAAATTTCCTCTGAAAATAAGGTAAAGTGCAATATTACCTTCCCTTCCCTTAACAAATGGCTTGCTAAAATTCTTTGCTGGCTTACCCATGGATTCTCAACAGAATATATTCCCTGCCTCATACTCCTAAGGGAGTAAAGATGAATGAAGACCAGAGAGAAACATTGTCCACAATATTTACATTCTATATCTAGTCTCTGGTAGATTGCACAGTGACAGGTACCTACTAGTGAGTTATTAAAACAATGCTTGTTGCTTTTAAGGCAATGTCTAAATATTATATAAGAGAAAACAAACTAATTTAACATTGTACTCAGCGTACAGCCTGTATCTAACTACAATCCTTTCCTCTCACTTCCTTCTCCTAATTTAGGTGGGGTTTAATAGCACTGCATAATTCTAGATGAATTTGAGGCAAATTGACTGATACTGGAAATATCTGACAAGCAACCCAAGCTTCTGCCTCGCTTTGCTTTTTCAGCTTTTCTCTTCTAGGCCTACAGGAATTCATAAATATTTGTAAATTAGGACTAATGTGTATTACCTAAAATCTAGACTCAAAACCCTGCAATTATACCTGAAAGATGGCTGCATATTTTCCTTCTTTGCCATAGGATCCTGGTATCATGCTTTCAGAAGACATTTACTAGGTTTTTTTGGAAAGTGATATACAAAAGCTGAAAGGTCCTTGCAAATGACTGTTCAGTTCATATGGGAATACAGGAAGGAACAATTCATTTATTGGCAATAAAGAGGCAGGAAATTTAAAGAACCAAAGCTGAAGGTCACAAATGTCTTTTAATTAGCCTTCCTGTCCAAAGTCTTCTGTAAATTTCTTTAGTTTTTCCAGATCTTGTTCATTCACGGTGGGTTTTGTGCTGGTTAATGACCTCAGCATATCAGCCTGTCACATGAGAGAGAGAGAGAAAGGTTAAGAGTTACATACTTCTCTGTATTATGTATTACTAATAGTTTGACCAAGACAGGTTCTGATCCACAATGTTACATTTGATTTATATAAAAGGAAAAATATTAGGGAGAAGGCACTAAGGTATGGAAAAACCAATAACCTAAACATTCCTGTGCCTGTTTTGCCCATTGCTCAGATAGTTGCTTCAGATAATGATTTCATTGAATAAGAACTTTTTTTGTTAAAGAGTGGAAACTGTATAATGAACAAGAGGTAGAGAGAAAGTAAAACAGTTCTCATAATGGAGGAATATTAGAAGTGATGTCTTTTAAGAGATCCGTATTGGAAGTACTTTTTAACTTGTTCACAAATGACTTGAATTTAAGAGTGACTAATAAAGTGGCCAAATTTTAAATGAGACCAAATCAATAGTCACCATGATGAAATCCTACATACCCAGATTGGAGCAAACAGACATACACTCCACACTTGGAAAGACAAATACTCACCCTCTGTCACTCAGATATTAGATAATTTTACTACTTAATCTATACATAAACATATTAACATATGAATGTCAACTTCAGATTATCTCTCCCCCCCCCCAACATTCAGTCGTCTCAGAGCTTAGAAGTAATGCATATGTCACAAACAACCTGCAGCATTAAGGAATTGCAGCAACACCACTATAAAAACAGGCTATAATGTTTGGTGCTATTCAGCTTTTAAAAAATGGTGAATAAATGCAGACATGATAGTGGTGTATATCAAATTAGGTATGTTGTGCATAAAGGACACAGGACAGTCTTTGCTTATTCTCTTACAATATTAGAATCCAGGTTCATCCATGGAAAATATAATGGGAGATTAAGAGCAGACAAATAGAAGTCCATCTTCCCACAGTACACATTTAAATTATGAGATACCATAAGATGTCATGATAGTTGCCAACCTCAATAGTTTTTAAAAGGGGCCAAACAGTTCTTTGGTCTGATCCAGTATGTCTACCTGTGCTGTTGGGCAATTAAAATAATGACACAAGGGACCATGAAATTTAAGATGCCGTCATGCCTACTTTGAATTACAGATATATAATGTGAAATGCACTCTTACACAAGTCTTTAGGCAATTACTATCTAACAACCTCATTCTAATCCTATGCATGTTTACTCAGATGCCTGTCTCACTCTATTAAATATGGCCTCAAACAGTTTTACCAGATTGTACTGTAAGCAAGGCTCAAAGTAATAGACACACAAAGCAATGAGCTTTGAGCCTTTGCAATAATTTGGATCCTTTCTGGGCCTTAGCAAGTGATGCAGAAACAAACAGTATTACAGTATAGATAACCTTGCGTACTGGCAGTGGGTTAATACACATCTCTGTGCTCATGTACCAAGAATCTCAGTACATCAAGATAATGGGTTGGATCCAGACTATGTCAATCACACTAAACTACTGAAAGAGTGGGACAAGTTAAATCATAAATGACTGTACTCCCTTAAAAAACCAATGGCACTGTGTGGTTAGCATAATCTGAATCCTAGCTACAAAACTAGAACATAGGACCGAGGGTCTGTAACAGCAGGAGCTAAATCACAAATGCATGTTATAGTTAGAACTGTAATGAAATTGTAAATCAGTCAAAAACTAACAGATCTGATATCAGGCCACACACAAAACCAGGGATGAACAACTAAGACATTGCTACAGTTAGTACAAGTAGTGAAGGCTTCTGGGAGTTAGTACAAGAACATTTGGGGACCTAAAATTGGGAAACACTATTTTCTATGTCAGTGTTTCCCAATTTTAGGTCCCCAAATGTTCTTGTATTAACTCCCAGAAGCCTTCACTACTAGCTGTGCTGGACAGGATTTCTGGGAGTTGGAGTCTAAGAACAACAGGGGACCTAAGGTTGGGAACCACTACTCTAGGGCTAATGAAAGCTTTTAACAAAAAAGAACTGCAAGACCATACATGCCAATCCCTGGTGTGTCTTTTCCCCTCCCCCCAATGCCTTTTAAAAGTATGTGAGATTCAGGTGTGTATTGACTTCAAATAACTATTATATGCAATTATCAAATGAATGGGAGGTATTTATGAAAAGATGAGCTCACCCCACCTCAAAAACAAACTGCTGGGAGGCTAGGAGGCTTAACCCCTGCCCTGACAACCTACATATTATGTATCTGTAAGCCCTATTATTAAACCAATGATGTATGGGAATATGACTTCTGAAAATGAATATAATTCTCATTCAACCACTCCCCTTTTTGATGCAAATGTATGATTATTGGCCATGACAGACAACAAGGTACGGATGTCTTAACACTCAGGCAAAACCAAAAGAAAAAGAGAAAAAATTAAAAGAATATAAGCAAGAACTTTTCATCCACTGTAGAAGTTTTAAAACTTCCATGATTTAATGCTTGCAATAAGGTAAAGGTTTCCCTTGACATTTAGTCCAGTTGTGTCCAACTCTAGGGGACGGTGCTCATCTCCATTTCCAAGCCATAAAACCAGTGTTTGTAGACAGTCTCTGTGGTCACGTGGCCAGCGTGACTAGACATGGAACGCCGTTACCTCCCCACCGTGGTGGTAGCTATTTATCTACTCACATTTTTACATGCTTTCGAACTGCTAGGTTGGCAGGAGGTGGAACAAACGACGGGAGCTCACTCCGTTGCATGGATTCGATCTTACGACTGCTGGTCTTCTGACCTTGCAGCACAGAGGCTTCTGCAGTTTAACCCGCAGCGCCACCACATCTCTACCATTGCTTGCAATAGATTAGTACAAATGAACAAGGCATGGAGATATAGAAAACTAGTCTCTTCACTGAAGAATGCTTTTTCATAACTTTTCTACAATAATCAGTTGGAATATCCAGAGAACCCAGATGGACAAGAAGTGCAAGGAGACAGAAGGAGGAAGTTACACCATCCTTTATGTCTACAATTCACTGAGAAACATTCAAATCGAAAGCAGTTTTTGTCCTAACTACAAGAGCCTAAATGCAGGCAAAGAAACAGGGAAAAAAGTAAGGAAAACAATCAGGTAAGCATAGGCTGGATAGATATAGGTATATAATTTATGTAAATCCTATTTCAGGCTATCAATTGAAGGTCAACACATTTTGGTAAGATTTTTGTTTACATTTCAGATTAAAAGCACTTCAGGTATCTGAAGAGCCACCAAAGCACTCAGAAGTTAAGTACAGTGGTGCCTCGCTAGACAGTTACCCCGCATGACAGTTTTTTCGCTAGACATTGACTTTTTACGATCGCTATAGCGATTCTCAAAACAGTGATTCCTATGGGGGAATTTCGCTGGACAATGTTTGGTCCCTGCTTCGCAAACCGATTTTCGCTAGACAACGATTTTGACAGCTCCCTCTGCGTTCACAAAATGGGTGTTTTCAGGACCTAAGCTTCGCAAGACAGCTATTTAAACAGCTGATCGGTGGTTCGCAAAGCGGCTTTCCTATGGCTGATCTTCACTAGACAACGACGATTCTTCCGCACTGGAATGCATTAAACAGGTTTCAATGCATTCCAATAGGGAAATGCTTTTCGCTAGATAATGATTTCGCTAAACAGCGATTTCAGTGGAACGGATTATCATTGTCTAGCAAGGCACCACTGCATCATTAGATTCAGCTGAATTTACTCCCAAATTAAGTATGCACATTATTGAAACAATGTTTTAGAAAGGTTTAGTCTTTAAGGTGTCATGGTATTCTTGGAGCCATAAGCAAGAGCCTCCTTGAGAAGATAGTAGGAATACAGTGGTGCCTCGCTTAACAATTGCCTCGTTTAACGATGTATTCGATTAGCGATGAGGTTTTCGGAGCGATTTTGCACTCCGTTTAGCGAAGTTTCCTATGGGGAAATTTCGCATGGCGATGTTCGGGACCTCTTCTCGCTTAGTGATCACAGTTTAGGTCCCCCTGTTTCGCTTCGCGATGTTCCATTTTCGCTATTTTCAGAGTGTCTTAAAATGTTCAAAAACTGTTTTAAATGTTTGGGATCGTTAGTGCACCTTGTAAAACCTTTGCAGAATTAATTTGGCTTTGTTCTGACTCTTTGTTAAATTTTTGGTGAATTCTCCCCCCCCTTTGGAATGCATTGAAGCCTATTCAATGCATTCCAATGGGGGAAACATTGTTTCGCTTAGCGATGTTCCATTTTCGCTATTTTCAGAGTGTCTTAAAATGTTCAAAAACTGTTTTAAATGTTTGGGATCGTTAGTGCACCTTGTAAAACCTTTGCAGAATTAATTTGGCTTTGTTCTGACTCTTTGTTAAATTTTTGGTGAATTCTCCCCCCCCTTTGGAATGCATTGAAGCCTATTCAATGCATTCCAATGGGGGAAACATTGTTTCGCTTAGCGATGTTTCCTATGGCGATTTTCGCTTAAGGACGGTAATCCGTTCCCATTGGAAAAGATTATCCGGTTTTCAATGTATTCCTATGGGAAATGGTGTTTTGCTTAGCGATGTTTTCCCATAGCGATGTTTTTTTGGGAACCAATTAACATTGTTAAGCGAGGCACCACTGTACTGGTATTTCACCAGCAATTAGGCAAGTCTCCCACATTCTAAATAGACTCTCATATTTCTTCACAATGTCAGATTACAGTCAGGTTCAACAGGGTCTTTTTTCCACACTGATTCTGAGAAGTCCGTTCTACTGGCTTTGGTTTCAATAGTTAGTAGGAACAGTGAGAATTTCACTCAACCGTTTATGCATGTCAGTAACTAGATGATGAACTGTTTATCTATGTCCAAAAGTAAATCAGATATTGAGAGGGCAGAGGCAAATCTTCTGGATAGATTTCAGAAAACTGCTTCTCTGAGTCAAAAGAGAGTCTTTTCTAAATTATGTTGAGCCGCTTTCTCTGATAAGTGCTGGTGTGTGTCAATGGGTTAATGAATAATAAGTAGCCGGCTGTGGAATGAGGGCCCTGCAATCAAAATCTCCACTGTGTCTTCTGGGAGAGGATCCAGATAAGGTTACCCCAAGTGTGTGGGGTAAGGGGCTTCAATGTACTGCAACTTGTGTGTTATTTAGCAGGCTGCATAGCTCCAGAATGTCTCCAAAAGCCGGAACTGGTAAATCATTTGTGAATATTTGGAAAACTCTTAATTTCTCCTTGGATGGAGCCTGCAGGAGGAGGTTGTTGAGAACAGAATAGACACCCCCCAAGCAGAGCTAAGCTACAATATAAATCATGCAATTCAAGCATATCTCATGGGGCTGAAAATACTGAGGTCCAAAGGTCTGAAATAATGGCATCCTAAGTTGTAGTCTTCCCATGATTAGGATATTTGGAAGGATCATCAATATGTAATGAGCAACAACGTGAATATTTCCAGTCTGTCATGTCACCAATTACTTCAGATATGCAGGGGTTATCTTATGCTGGCTAGACAGCTCAGTGAGTTGGGTACCTGGCTATGGAGCTAGAGGCCAAAAGTTTGGTTCTACATTGTGCCTCCAGGGACAAGAACCAGCTGATGCAACCTAAGGCAAACTGCACAGTCCCCAGGCCACTGCCAGATGAAGGAAATGGTAAGATTATATTTACTGAAAGTAAGCCGCCTTCTCTGATAAGTGCTGGACTGCTTTATCCAAGAAATTCATCTGAATCAACTGCATCTACTGTGTACAAGCTCAGACACCAACATGAAGCTCTCTTCCACACCCTGTTATACCTGGCCCTCTTCTCTTTTAAGGACTCAGAAGTCACTTTCTGAACCATTGGCACCGTGTGGCAACAGAAAAGGGAAAGGAAGAAAGCACTGGTGATAAAAAGAGAACTTCTGCCAGGATATAATAGGAAAAGAGAAAAAACAAGATAGAAAGGTATTTTTTTTAAATAGTAGTAAAAGATGAAAGGAGTATGAGAATGCTCACAGAGAAGGCTCAGCTCTGGGCAAAGGCAGGAATGCACTGGGTTAGTCAAAGGTCAAGAATAGATTAGGGATCCTTCAGTCTCGAGAGCCTATGGTAACGTGCTCTGAATAGAAGACTTGGAACAGTGTCTAGTGTGGCTGAGAAGGCCAATTCGAGAGTGACAATCCCTTCCACACTGAAGACAAATACAATCTGTCCCTTGTCCAGCTCCCTGATTATGCTGGTTTCGGGACTGCCTCTTTGCCTGGGCCTGCTAGACTAGGGTCTCTTCAAAATGGGAGAGGCCATGATGCACCACCTGCCTCCAGGCTGAATGCTCAGATTTCAAGGTTTCCCATCTGTTTAGGTCCATTCCTAAGACCTTCAGATCCCACTTGCAGATATCCTTGTATCGAAGCTGTGGTCTCCCTCTGGGGCGATGTCCCTGCACTAAGTCTCCATACAGGAGATCTTTTGGAATCCGACCAAAATTCCAGCTCGTTCTAGGACTAGTCTATTTGGAACTTTGTCCTGCCATGTGATACCAAAAATGCGCTGGAGACAGCACACATGGAATGTGTTCAGCTGCTATGCACAAAGGATCCAGGACTCACTGCAGTACAGGAGTGTACTCAGGACACAGGCTCTATAGACCTGGATCTTGGTATATGCCCTCAGCTTCTTATTAAGCCATACTCTCTTTGTGAGTCTAGAGAACATGGTAGCTGCTTTGCCAATGTTTACCTCGACATCTAGGGAGAGTGTCAGAGATTGTTGAGCCAAGGTATACAAAGGCATGAACAACCTCCAATTCTTTTGTGGAGATAGTAATAGAGAGAAGTGAGTCCACGCCCTGGCCCATGACTTATGTTTTCTTCAGGCTGATTGTTAATCCAAAATCTTGGGAGGCCTTGCTAAAACAATTCAAGGAGGTCTTGAATTGGAGGTCTTCAGCAAAATGGGCAACAGCTGCATCATCAGCGAAGAGGAAGTACCACATGCATTTCAGCTGGACTTGGGTTTTCACTCTCAATCTAGAGAGATTAAAGAGTTTTCCATCTGATCTAGTCCGGAGATAGACACCTTCTGTTGTAGTTCCAAAGGCGTGCTTCAGCATGACAGCAAAACAGATCTCAAACCGTGTCGGCACGAGGACACAGCCCTGTTTCACTCTGCTTCAGATGTCAAAGGGATCTGATGCTGAGCCATCAAAAACTAAAGTGCCCTTCGTTTCCTCATGAAAGGACCTGATGATGTTAAGGAGTCGAGGTGGACACCCATTCTTGGGGAGTATTTTAAAAAGGCTGTCCTTGTTAAGCAAATCAAAGGCCTCTGTGAGATCTATGAAGGCCACAAAGAGTGGCTGTTGTTGCTCCCTGCATTTTTCCTGCAACTGTCTGAGGGAGAATAATTTCTGCTAAAGTTGGTTCGCTGTCCAACTCTTCCAAGACAGGCAGGCACTCAATGTTATTGAATGCCTCTTCGGTTACTGCACTCTCTCTGGAATATAGCTCAGAGTAGTGTTGCACCCAGTACATTCCCTTGATGTTACCTGTGTCCGCTGCTATCTGTATCTGAGAACAGAGCTGAAGCCAATAATCATTAGAACATCTCCTGGCAGCCTGTTGGACTTTGATGTTAGCAACTCAAAGAGCCTGCAAGTTGTACTCACTACAACAGGCTTTGTATGCTGCTAGAGCTCTCCTCTTTTCCTTGATGGCTGGCATCAACTTCTCTGAATTGGCTTTGAACCAGTCTGCCATCTTTTTGGTCTTCTTGCCAAATGTCGACAAGGAGGTGTTATAAACAGCGTTCTTGAAATGTTCCCATCGTTCAGGTGCATTTGCATCAGCTGGGCCTGGAAGGGTTTCCTCAAACGCTTAGGCAAATTCCTCCACTTTTCTTTGATCACGAGTCTTGCTTATGTCAATATGTGGTCTTACTTCCTTTTTCGTGTGATACAATGTCTTTAGTTGCAGTTTTACTCTACTACACACCAGGGAGTGATCAATATCAGAATCAGCACCCTGATAACTATGTGTGATCGTAATACTAGAAAGGCTAGAGCGTCTAGTGAGGATCAAATCAAGCTGATGCCAATGCTTCAATCTTGGCTGTCTCCAGGAAACTCTGTGTTGAAGCTTCATATTAAAGAACGTGTTGCTGACACAAAGGCCATAGTAACAGCAAAACTCCAGCAAGCGTTGGTCATTTTTGCTCATCTTCCCAATGCCAAAATGGCCTAGACAAGTGGGCCAAGAATAATAGACCAGAATAATAATCATGCAACCCCTACCTTCTTGAACAGTAACCTTTTCAGTAACTTCTTTGCACAACCCAGCTGAACAATAACATTACTGTAAACTATAAAAAAGCTAAACCCTTCTGTTCGTGTGTGAAACTCCTATCTCAAAGGATATAGGAATAAAGGGGTATGTGTAACTGACATTTTTACTAACAAATTGCTTGTAGGGTAATACGTTCAAATGCTGTGCAGCCAATTCTACAGATACTTATTTGCAATTAATGACTTCAGTAAGGCTGACTTCTAAATGAAAAGCTTAGAGAGTTGGAGTCTTGGAGAACCAAACAACTGTAAACTGAAAGGGACTTTGATCTCATGCCATTTTCTATGCCAATTTACATAGCAAATTAGTTTGAGAGTGCTTTCAGAATAGTTAATTTTATAGGATGGAATGTGTTTAAAGTATGAGGGGACTGGGCACATCCAGCATTCAGGTATGCTTAAGGTGGATTTTCATTTCTTAGTTACAAGTTTAATTTTAATTCAAGTGGTATACTTTAATATTGATGTGGAAGGGGCTTAATTAAAGCACAAAATACAAACATAAACATGATTGAAAGGAGCAGTACCTAAGTTGATTCTGGATTCTACCTTTTCAACCAATGAGATGTACCCAAGATGAAAGTCGTATCTAACTAAAGTACATGTAATAACATTCTCTGCTTTTACGATAATATAAATTATCTACCAATCAGCAGTTCAAAACTAATGCAAGTAGTCTCATTTTCATTTCCAGTAAATATACTGAAATTTGCTGTTTTGCAAAACTATATCTGATCTTTCAAAATTTTAATTTCAAAGTGAACAGCAAATATTTAATTTAATATTTAATTTAGTATTGACATTATTAAAACAGTATTTTAATTAATATTTAATCATTATATATAAATTATAGATAACTTAAACGAACTGAGAAAAAGTGTTAACAACATACAAGTATTTTCTCTAAGGCAACGAGGCAATAAAACAGTAAAATGGGGCAATGGGAGACTGCATGTCTTGCATACAGAAAGTCTCAGCTTCAATCCCTGCCGTCCCAAGGGTCAGACTGGAGTCGTACTGTCTGAAGTTCTGGATAGCTACTCCCGGTCAAAACAAATAACACTGACTCCTATATTGTTTCAGATCCTTCTGACAGCATTAATGTGCCTTGCAACACTCTCTCCGTGGGGCTGCCCTTGAAGGTGGTTTGGAAACTGCAACAGGTGCAGAACGCTGCTACCACGTTAGTCTCTGGAACATCTCTTCATGAACATATAACCCCTACCCTGGCTTGTCTGCTTTGGCCACCTGTTTGCTTCCGGGCCAGGTTCAAAGTGCTTATATGAACTAGACTGAAGTAAAGAGAATCATAACAAAACAAACACAAACCATGCAAACAACAGGCTCCAGTAGCTTATCTCCTGGCACATCCATCCATGTCATTTCAATGGCGTTAGGATCTCCTGGAGAACATGGGGTGAAGAGCTCTACTAAAACATTTGGGTCAGATAGTGATGGTCCATTCACCTTTCAAAGAAAAGAAATGTCTACATTAAAGGTATGAAAACATTCAGCAGAATTATAGAAATACTTGTTGGATGAATACAAGTATTAGTTTAGGCATTTAGATGTCACTGCTTTTGTTCTGTTTTTTTCCCAAGCTGCTTCTGTAATTTGGCTTTAATAATCCAGTTTCTAAAATTATTCTCTCTTCTAATTTGTCTTTTTTCTTTAAAATAAATATAAAATAATCTCCATAATATCTATATTTATGTAGTGCGGGTTGGATGGCCTCCACGGAAAGGGAATGGTAAAATACTTCTGAGTATTCTCTGCCTGCAAAACCCTGAAAAAGGGTCACCATAAGTCAGATTTCCTTGACGGCACACTATCATTATCATTATTATTATTATGATTGCTGATACTAAATCCACCCATGGCTCCTCCTCCCACTACTGGTTTATCTAAGGTAATACCAGTTTCACCATGCAGGGCTGGTTTTAGCTCTGTTGTTAAGTTCCTCAAAATTGCTGACTCCAGTGTTGCTGCCAGGCCAGTTCAGGTGGTAAGCACATCTGGAGAGCAGTAACAAGGTAACTTCAATATCTTTCTCAAACCAGATTCAGCTTTTAGCAGCTCAGGTAGATAATACTGGAGAAGAAACTATGACTGGAGATTCTGGCCTTTCTCAGACCTTTCTCCCCAGGATCTTGATAACTCATTTTAAAAAGCTAAAGTATTTTGTCAAGTAATTAAAAAGCAGCCTCTTGCTAACGTGATAACTTCCATATAACAGGCCCTGAGTAACAATGACAAGTACAAAAACTGCTGGTTGTCTGGAATCCTACCCATGAAGGATTTCTGGCAGAATCTCTTCAATAGCCATAAACATGAACCATCCTTGGATTATGCAATTTCCCCTTCAAACATGCTGCAAACAGCAGATAAAATGTCAACAGTGCAGCCTTTAAAAATAAGTAAACATGCTCCTAAGCAACAGAAAAATATATCCCACTAGCAATTCCCAATTAAAGCTTGTGGACAGACATGGCTATTCCTTTGTTCCATGAACCTGAAGGGAAGTCCATTCACAGTGACACACTTCTCGATTTCAATTATAGACTGAATTCAAAGAAACTCAACAAATGCTCTGAAGAATAGCCATAAGAAATCCAGACTCTCACTTCTCCTTCCTTGCCACAGTGAGAGGAGCCAGAGTCTGATAAGTGAAATCATCCTACAGCCTCCTTTGAATCTGAAATTAAGGAAAGTAGAGAGAATGATCCCTGCTAACACCACCTCCCCCCCCCACTGAAGCTAAAGCCCATATTTGCCAGAGAAAGTTTTTAGCTATCTTCTCCTGCTTAAAATTGGAGAAAAAAATGTTGCAGAGGGGTGTAGGCTTCTCTGTTCCTGTAAGTTGCAAGCTCTTACAGGAGAGACAATAAAGTACAGAAAAACAGCAGCCTTGTGCATCTCAGCCTGTCTCTCAGTTCAGACCTTGTACCTGCTTACAGTATTTCTGCATCCGACAGATTGCTCTTTAAGCACAGAGGCCATTTTTAATCTTTCCCCAACTTTGGCTCTGAGCTACTGGAAGGCAGTGGCATCTCTTCTGTTCCAGCCTACATTCAAGCCTGGAGCTATGACAGGGGAGTAAGAAATTACCCCCACATCTTGTGGCTGCATTATAAAACTGCTGAATGAGGTTAAGAAGAAGATTCTACCCTCATGGGAGCACACTTCTGGTGATAAGTTTCTCAGTAACCCCTGGTGAGTATATTGAAACAGAAACAATGAGAGAAAGAGATACTCACTTTTTTAAAATGTGTGGCAGATTGGACTTTCCTAACTGGCTGCATTAAGGCATCTCGTACAATTATACTGATATCAGCACCTGAGTAGCCATCAGTTCGCTTTCCAAGTTCTCGATAATCTGATTCATTCAAGGTGTTTTTAGTAGTCCCAAGGTGAAGCTTAAACATTGCAGCTCTCGCATGATCTTCAGGTAAGGGAATGTAAATTCGCTTCTCAAACCTTGGTGGAAAAAACACGTTTCATTTTACCCTCCAACAAAATTGGAGTACACATTCTTAAATGGTTACAACATTTGACACACTAGCATAAATGCAACATTTTAGTGAGACTGCTTAGTTTATCTACTAACAGAAGTAAAACATGTTATCAACAGCCACAGCAAAACAGCAATAAAATAATTGCTTATCTAATTAAATTTAAAAAATGGATTGCTTTGAATTTAATATTCCTGGCTTTATGACCTGAAAATTGGGAATGAACATTCCTCTTAGACATGCTGGCTATGATGTTTAGATGGTCTTTAAACCAGTTTTTCTTTTCTACTTTTAACAGGGAAATATAGCTTAATTCTTGCTATCTGACCAGGAGAGAAGGGAGAAGCAAGTGAGTCCAATGTTTGTTCTCAATTTCATAAGCCATGATTTATTAAACTAGAATTGTTACATTAAAAGTGGTCTGTTGTGTGAAAGTCTAAGAAGTGATTCTTAGTTACTGTTGGGATTTGGGAATAAAAATGATGCAAGAGAGTAGTCATGGATTTTATTTATTTATTTATTTAATTTCTATGACGCCCACTCTACCCAGAGGTCTCTGGGCAGCTCACAACAATCTTGCAATTATTTTTACTATCAAGGCTGGCAAACGTTTTATTAACAAAACACAGCATTTAGTAGCCCAATTTGCAGAATTATGTAGTTGCAGCATGTAGCTTAAGTCATTACAGATTAACGGAAATATTTTATGCCTGAAGACTGCAGAAAGCTATCTACTTATTCCTGTTAATATATATGAGCACCAGGATCCAATAGAACAGCTGAGAGGCGGGTGTAGGGGCTGTTCTATCGGATCCTGGTGCTGTTTCCTCCTAAGGGGTGTGTGTGAGCAGAGCGCCGAACAGCTGAGAGGCGGCAACCAGCTGAGAGGTGGGCAGAGGGGGGCATTTTATTAATATTAAACCCTGAGAGGGTTGTCACCTCTCAGCTGTTTGGCGCTGTGCTCACACACACCCCTTAGGAGGAAACAGCACCAGGATCCAACAGAACAGCCGGACTCAAACATCCAGGGAGAAGCCCCGTGCGCGCCAAAGAGGCAGATGAATGCGGCACAGGTGGGCGGCATTCTGGGCCGTTCATACAGATGCTCCTTGTTCTCCAGGGCAACCTGGTAAGTGACTTTTTCGCCCATAGGAACGCATTAATTAAATTTCAATGCATTACTATGGGAAACCGTGCCTCGCAAGATGAAATTTTTTGCAAGATGACATGTCTTGCGAGTCACTGAAAAACTCGCAAAACACTTTCGTCTTGCGAGTTTTTCATTGCATGAGGCATTAATCTTGTGAGGCATCACTGTACTGAATTTATATGGTCATCGTGTGAGGCATCACTGTACTGAATTTATATGTTGTTATACATTACCTTCGTCTGATGGCAGAATCGAGAACCCAAGGTATGTTTGTAGCTCCCAGAACCAAAATGCCTTCATTGTCTGTTCCAACTCCTAATTAGAAAGAGGTAAATCTAGTAAGTAACCATTAAACAATACACAACATGGAGAAGGTAAAATTTTGAGTGCAGTATTTTCTTGTATCTCCACAGATTATCATAGGTAGGAGTGAACATGCCAGCTACTATATAGGTATAGGTTCCCCTTGACATTTAGTCCAGTCATGTCCAACTCTAGGGCGTGATGCTCATCCCTGTTTTCAAGCTATAGAGCCAGCGTTTATCCGAAGATAGTCTCCGTGGTCACATGGCCAGCATGACTAGACACGGAACGCCATTACCTTCCCACCGAGGTGGTACCTATTTATCTACTTGCATTTTTACATGCTTTTGAACTGCTAGGTTGCCAGGAGATGGAACAAGCGATGGGAGCTCATTCTGTCATGTGCATTCAATCTTACAATTGCTGGTCTTCTGACCTTGCAGCACAGAGGCTTCTGCGGTTTAACCCGCAGCGCCACCATGTCCCAATCAACTACAGCGGTGCCTCGCAAGACAATTGTAATTCGTTCTGCGAGAATCGCTGTCTTGTGAAAAAATCGTCTTGTGAGGTTCCCTATGGGAACCTCGCAAGACAAATAAAATTGATTCATCTTGTGAGGCATCGGTCTCGGAAAAAAAGTCTTGCAAAGCATGGTCATAGAAGAAACTATCTTGCGAAGCACCATAGCGATTACAAAAAACAATCGTCTTGTGGGTTTTTCATCCTGTGAGGCAATCGTCTTGCAAGGCACCACTGTATTATATACTGTTATATAAACAGAATGTTTTATTATTTAACTAATATCTGGAATCCAATATTCTCACCCTGCATTTGGACCAAAAACTCTGTTTTAATCCGTCGAGCTGCTTCACTTTCATTTTCACTTCTGGAACCACACAAAGAATCTATTTCATCTATAAAGATAATCGAAGGCTTATTTTCTCTGGCAAGCTGGAAGAGATTCTTCACTAGTCTGTGGAAAAAATTAAGCTGCATTACAAGAGGAAAGAATGCACAATGATATGACACTGTATCACAGCAAGATTCAATGAAGGTCACTGCTATTTATTTTCCATGTAGGATCAGACCTTAGTTTTGATTCACTTCACATATGAGATGAGTTGCCACTCCTGGGCAAGTACTGCATGAGTTTTGACAAATTAGCGAGCAACACTAGTATCTTATGCATCTTGTATCTGAATTCCCATCCTGTCATACTATAATTAGAATTTAATGAATCTTTACAATATAGTTACGTAATGGAAATGCAACACTGTCTGTAGATACTTAATAATGAGACAGAGCAGGTGGTATACTATAAATCCATAAATAAATTATATGATATCCAGAACTTGAACCCAGACCACACATAAATAGCACAAGAACTGCACTACATTTCCCTAGCTACACTCTGACATGGCTGTCCTGAGAAACTATGACAAAGAATGATAGCAGCTGAGAAGCTTACAAACTAGTACTTCTGATTTGGTAACATCAAAATAACACTTGTTACAGAATCAAACTCTCCTACTCCTGACACAGATCTCTTTCCAAAACAGATTAAGACCTTAATTTCCATACCAATCCTTTCTACAGATTTTCCAGTCTTGTGCCCTCCCCTTTAGCCTGCCTCTCCAAACTGAACAGTTTTTTTCCCAAGTAAGATGCAATAAGCTATCTGTTAAGGGCTTGATGAGTAGCCATATAAATCTGTGGCAACCAATATTAGATTAAGGTTTATGTTCCAAAGTAGCACTTTGGAGCTTCCACCTTCCAAAATGTTAATACTCACTTTTCACTCTCTCCCAACCATTTAGATACAAGATCAGAAGAAGATACAGAGAAGAATGTAGAATTGTTAGCTTCTGTTGCAACAGCTTTTGCCAAATAGGATTTCCCAGTTCCTGGAGGTCCAAAAAGAAGGATCCCTCTCCAGGGGGTTCTTTTACCTAAAAATAAAGATTCCCCCCCTTAAATACAGGAAAGGTACTTCTGGAATTGGTTACTTAGCTTGGTATTAAATACCATTCAAAGAATGTACAGAAACTTCAAATATGACCTGAATGGTGGAGGGACATTAGGGGCATACATTACCATCTGCAAGCTAAATACTACATCAGGAGCAATCACTCCTGGACAACAACATTCTGACCAGTGTTATCCATGTTCTGTTAACATCCAAACTAGACAGCTACAACAGGGGCTCAGAAAATTATTTGAAAACTACAGTGGGTCCAAAATGCAGCTATAGTTACTGTTGATAGTAACTAGCTATATGTAAAACCTTGCCAGTTAAACAACTCATTGCCACCAGCCTCTTTTTGACAGAAACTTATGTGCTGGTCTCAACTCTTAAAACTCCACAGCGTGGAACCAGCATAGGCATTTGAACGTCTATCTACTGTACTCTGATATGACCCTGTCCTGATGAAAACATATTTCTCTATTTGCGTGCTCCAGGTGTCTCTGAAATGAGGCAGGAGATGATAGAGGGCAGGGCCTTTTGCTTGTTAGTTCCTTTTCTGCAGAATGTTTTACCTAGAAATGTTTTCCTGGTGCTAGTCCTTTTGTGTGTTTTCAGTGGTATAGGAAGATATTTATTTCTTTAAGTTTTTACACTGTGGATTTACTTGTATATGGTACTGCTGTTGTTTTATTCAATCTTGCTACCTTTTCCTAATTTGGGATCATTTCTATGTTAATTGTTTTATGTCTTCTCATATCAGCTTACACAGTTAAACAATTTCTTATGAAATTAACTGCTTTTGTAAGAACAAGTAGAATTACATGGTGAAATTTCCAGCTACATTTTTGATTTTATTTATTAGATCACTACATTTTGGTCCTGCCCTCTTAGGAGCTCAATACAGCATATAATGGTTCTTCCAAATCCATTTTATCCTCACCAATCATGTTAGCTAAGTTAGGCTGTGAGTCTCTATGAATATAGGCATCCTCATAATTGTTATCAGTAGTAGTTTGTTATCAGTAGTAGTTGTAACATTAGTAGTAGAGCAGTGGCAATAGTAATCATTAATTGCCTTTTTATCCTCAAGGTCCTATAAAATGATGTGTAATAGAATGCATTTAAAACACCAGTGAACATTATTATTAACAATCTAAACATAAACAATGAGTCTTTTTGTGCGTTTGGCACAAAACGTCAAATATCCCATAAATCCACCAACATGCAAGATTTGTAATTTCTAGCATTAAATGAGGATTTGGGCAATTAGTTCAATCTCAAGCCTAATATCAAATACTTTATAAATATATAGAAAAGGAATGTAAAACTACATTTATGTGCCAATTTGATTTAAGCAGGGACTATTTCTGCTAACACATGAAGATTTTTAAAACCAAAGACAAGTATTTATTTATTTATTTAGTTAGTTCCATTTTTACCCTGCCCATCTAGATTCGGGAATCTACTCTGGGCGGCTAAGTAAGATTCATGACTGCCAGATAATTTATAATCAATTAGTTTTACCTGTGAAAAGATGAGGAAATTTAATGGGTAATATTACTGCTTCTTTAAGAGCTTCTTTTGCTCCTTCGAGGCCAGCAACGTCATTCCACTTGACATTTGGTCGCTCCATGACAATGGCACCTGTGACACAAAACACTATCATTTAGAAAAGTCTACTTCCTTCTAACGTTTTAAAGAAGAACATTTAAAACATCACCACTGAAATAATTTCTAATCCAATGTTCAATTCAGGCATACAGTGGTGCCTCGCTTTACGATTGCCCCGCATTACGATGAATCTGCTTTACGATGATCTTTTGTGACTGTTTTGCGATCACAAAACGATGGTCTAAATGGGGGAATTTCACTTTGCGATGATTGGTTCCCTGCTTCAGGAACCGATTCTTTGCAAAACGACGATTTTCCAACAGCTGATCCGCTGTGTCAAAATGGCCGCCGGGTAAATAAAATGCCTCCCCACTGTGTTTGGGGACGGATTCCTTGCTATACAGGCAGCGAAAATGGCCACTGTATGGAGGATCTTCGCTGGACGGTGAGTTTTAAGCCCACTGAAACGCATTGAAAGGTTTTCAATGTGTTTCAATGAGCTTTTTTTCGCTTTATGATGTTTTCACTTAACAGCGATTTTCCTGGAACGGATTATCGCCATTAAGCGAGGCACCACTGTAGTAATTTCAGAGAACAATTTGGACAATGAACTGGGAAAGACAGCTGTTGTAAAGTTAATGCTTACAGAAGTGATTTCTTCATAAGCTCTAATTTTTGCAAAATCAGTTTATATATTTGAACTAGCAGATCTCAAATACAGCAAAAAGCATTGTTCTGTATATGTATTTATTTTAATTGTTGAATGTGGGTACTGATGGAGTTGGACCACCGCAAGAAAGACAAGGGAAGAGAACATTTTGAAATGACATTTGTTTTTGAGAGAGATACAAGTGTTAGAACCTTCCCTGTGTATTGCTTCACTGGTAGAACTCTGCTCTATCCCAACCTCCCATCGTGGTATCTCAGGACTGCCTCGCTAAAACAAACATTTACTGGTATTTTATGGTGATGGTGGTACAATGGGCAAAATTCTGTTGCATAACTATGTGCAGACTATTCAAGGTTGTGCCCATGGTAGGTAAGATAGCCCAGAGGCAGGAGTGGTATTCACAAAGCTCCTCTGCTGGTGCACTGTGCAACTGGTTATGCCTGGGACTTGTGACCAATTGCATAACTAAACTGCACAGTTCTTTGTTACCAGTCCGGTACATTGACACAACTTTACATGATGCTGGTGTGAAAATGACTTTGCCCAGCAAGTGGGAGTGGCCCTAAAATAAAGGAATATAGCAAATTCACAGCAGTCACCCATAGGTTATACACCATATTGTAGTAGCAATGTAGTAGCAACCGGTGGGATGCTAGACAACAAAGATAATAAGAACATTGAGGTGTTTCCCATTAGATGGGAACATCCACAACCCATTATACCCATTAGTAGGCTATTAGAGACAGATGAACCATTTTGCAAAACTGCCTGAGCAAGGGCTATTGTGCATGCAGGTTTTACTATCCGTTGCAGACCAAATGCATGATGGACAGCCAGCAACAGACCTACCACTGCCTGCATGATTGCCCTCCCACAGTAACTAAAGGCTTCTGTTGTTTTTAAAAATCTTGATCTGGTAACTTGTTTGAAATGCTTTGTTCAAGACATAGGAGCTTGATGTAAAGCTACCTTGGAGTTGATTCTGAAGCTTCTTTTTCTCAGGATCATCCGATTCTCCTTCCCCATCGCTATCATTCCTAATATGGGTATAAATAAGAATACATAACCAAAACAGAGCTCAGTTCCTCTAGTCATGTAAACAATGATGTATTTGTAACAAAAGACTCACTTATAAAAACAGATATCAAGAAATACTGGAATTTCAAGTATCTACTTTAAATCAAGATTTATGGAAAAACAATGTTTTTATAAGTGGAGTGGGATTTCACATACATCCTTCTTAAGCACTTCATTAACTGGATGCTAGCCTGTGGTAATTTTTCATTAATCTCATCAAGAAACACTGATATAATAAAAACATTCCATGGAGTAGCACTGTGGCCTGTGAGAGATACAACACACACACTAGCACATGACACAACCCTTGTCCCCTCCAGTCTTAGACTGTGGGGAAGCAGAGTCTTCCATGGTCCCATCTAAAATTGCCCCTTTGAAATTATGTCTTTGATCACAGCCCACAAAGTTGATGCTGAAGTTTAACTGATTAGAACTTAAGCTTGATGGCATGAATGGACAGCCCACAAGATTTGTTTTTACCTGCAACTCCTTCCAGTCCTAGACAGAATGACTAACTGTGAGGAGTTATAGGTATAATAGTCAAAAGACAGCTGCCTATGTTTGTTCTCAGAGACCCTTCCTACCTAGTATGAGGTTTGGGTTCTCCTGCCTTTAACAAAGAATAAAAGCAATGAATGAAATGGTATGTACTACATTTATTTAATCGTGGTACACTGGATGCAGACTAAGTTATATTTAGAACTACAGTACACTTAAACCCTATTGATTGTAATTATTCTAAATATGATTAAACCTGGGTCCAGAATAGTGGCCAAAAGTTTGGAAAAAGGACATCACAACAGTGGCAAATTGCTGCAAATTAAAGTTCTCAGCAATTCTTCATGTGATTCCTTTATGCTTTGACTCTTACGTTCACAACTCTTTTTATGTCTTGGACTGGTGTGTTAGGTGGGTTCACGTATGGATGCAGAATCCAAGAAGGGACACTAAAAAGCACTACAGTGGTGCCTCGACCTACGACCACAATCGGTTCCAGAAGATGGATGCAACTCGAAATGGACGCAAGTTGAAGCACCATTTCCAATAGGAATGCACTGAAATGCAATTAATCCGTTCCGTCCGAAGGGAAAAAAAATCACTAAAAATAAAATAAAATATATAACTGCAAGACTCATTGGAAACACAATTAATCCCTCCCAGCCGAAGGAGGGGAAAATCAATCAAGTGTGCAAGACCCATTGGAAATGCACAGAAAACAAACAGAGCAGATCAGAAATGCACAGAGAACAAAGGGGGCAGGTCAGAAATGCAAAGAAAACAAAGGAAAAAGCAAGGGAAGCATGCAGGACCCATCAGAAATGGGGAAAAAAACGAAAAAGCAACCAAACCCGTTAGGACCCATCGGAAATGGGGGGGAGCCAAAAAGAAAAAGCAACCAAACCTGTTAGGACCCATCGGAAATGGGGGGGGGAGCCAAAAAAACAAACAAACCCCCAAGACCCATCGGAAATGAGGACCCCCAAAAAAGCAACCCCCAAAGACCCATCGGAAATGGGGGGGAGCAAAAAAAAAACAAATGAATCCTTTAAAACCCAACGGAAATGGGAAAAACACTCCAAAAAGTAACAACAAATGAATCCTTTAAAACCGAACGGAAATGGGAAAAACACTCCAAAAAGTAACAAACCCCCCCCCAAACCCATCAGAAATGGGGGAAAAAACCAAAAAACAACACCCCCAAGACCCATCACAGCACAGAAACATAACCACCCCAGCTCAAAACCACACTGCAAAAACACCTAGAACAGTTTTTAAAAAGCAGAAAACAGCACCTTACCTTACAAGGCAGTCCGAAGCCTCTCTGCAAACACACACACACACTCACTCAGAAGAAGAAGCGAGGCAGTCCCAAGCCTTCTCCAACACATACTCTCTAACTGCTGGGGCGAAAGAGCTACAAAGAAGCAGCCTTGTCGCCACCTACCGTTAGTCATTTGAATTTCCCACCTCTCCCACCTGCCTTTTTCTGTTCGTAACTGGAAGCTCTGGTCGCAAGTAGAAGCAAAATTTTGTGGCCGGAGCTGATCGTAACTCGAAGTGGTCGTAAGTAGGGATGTTCGTAAATTGAGACACCTCTGTAATTAAAGACCCTTGCCTGGATTTTAACTTATGTGCAAAGTTATGAAACTTGTGTACAATGAAGACTCTCATGAGGACTTGCAGTGGAAACTCTAATTCACCCAATACCTTTGTACAGGAAAATTATGAAAAATGATAATACAGCAGTTGTAATTGTCAAACATATCACAATCTTGGATCAATTTATACAACCAATATATAACTAACTCCTATAAAGCTGTAATACACAAAAATATTCATGGCTTGGAAAATTGTATTTTTTTTCATTCAATGTTCCACCATCACTAAAAGCACTAAGTAGATAAGCAAGCATATAAACACTGAAATCACTGAAGTTAACATACCCCTTTTCATCAGCTGAACCAGATTCTTTCACTGGTTTGAGAGGAGCTTTTTCTTTCTTCTTCAGATACTCCTTCAGCTTTTCCGCTCTGTCCAGATACTCAGTACACTTTGCTCTGATGCTTTGCTTTGCTTTATCACCTTGTGCTTCATCTGAGAATGACAAAGTATTCTGTTTCCCAGTACAAAGCAAAGTCATTTTTAAATCTTAACCTCTCCCATAAAAAATACCATTATAATGAAAAATGTCTATAATGTTGTGACAGAGTACATCACTTGCTGTTTCATTTGTAAGTCAGTTAAAGAAGATGGAACATTTTCCTTGGTGTTGGTAACAAAGCAGGTTAAGATTACACTCTCAAGAATTTATGTACAATAATATGATTATGATGGATTTCAAACTTCAGCGAACTCTTCTTCAGATAAAATGAAACTGATCTCAAGTGAGGCAGATTGAAAAGTTTTATACCACTGGTTTCAAACCTTGGATCCCCAAATGTTTTTAGACTAGAACTCCCAGAAACCTTCACCATTAGCTGTGCTGACCAGGATTTCTGGGAGTTGTAATCCAAAAAAAAAAATCTGTGGAACCACAATTTGGAACCACTGGTCTATACAAATATACAAAGGAGTAGCATTGTTTAAAAAAAGAGACAAATCTGGTTTAGGGGAAGTAGTGTCCTCCAGATGTTTAGATTACAACTTCAATCAGGAATTGTCAGGTGTTATCTGAGCTAAAAGTCTAAAATATCTGGAGGGCACCAGATTACATACTCCAACTGAAATGTCACCTAAAAACCACTGGGTACTGAAGTAACTTTAAGATGAAATCTGTAAAAAAAAACCTATGGGAAATAGGCTCTCCAAATGTTTTTGGTCTACAATTCACATTAGTGTAGTTATCCACAAATATCTAGAGGGACAGCTGCCCATACATTTTGTAAAAGATTCACTTTCCAGGAAGCGTGCATGTGGGAGTGTGACTAAACAGAGAAATCTAAAAGATTTCGTAGGAAACACAGCATCAGACCATTTCCTAACTTCTGATGGAGATTCCCCCTCTCTGTCAAGGGGATGGGGAGGGTTTAGGTAACTTATAGTATTTAGTGCAGCAGCGTACAACATATTGTTATGATTTAAACTGTCATTTGTTATATGATATGGTGTTACCTGCCCAGAGTAGTCTGTATGACTAGATGGGCGGGCTATAAATGTAATAAACAAATCTTGTGGACTACTCTATAGCCACTTCATGTCCACCCACCACCACTGTGAAATTTTATGTTGTTAACCAGTGCCGTAATGATCCATGCTGCCATTACTGTTGATCAATGCCATTTTCATACACAAATTGAGGATGATCACTTCTCCTTCCCCCAATGGCCCTAAGTGACACAGGGATATTGCTCCTGTTGAAACTTCCAGAGGATCTTCTAGCAGCAGGAAGCAGAGATCAGCCAAAGTACATTTGAAAAGCCACTTCTGCAACCAGTTTCAGAGGGCTCTGTGATTCCTGCCTTCCAGGTACTACGGCTTATGACTACAGTCCCTGACAGTGCATATTTTTCAGTTTTAATACAAAAGGAATATATTGACATGAAACTATTCACTGTTGTGGAGGTGAAGATGGGGAGGGAAACCACTATAAATAAAAATGACTATTTACAGAAAAGAGAAATAATACAGTAACATTCAAATAAATAAAATGAAATATCCTCATTCTGACATCTTGAACATGATCACTGGGATGCTGTGCAGATGTGAGTGTGCACATTTTCGTACACATGTGGAACCTCCAGCTCACACTGAACTAGACTCTTGGATCCAAAAAGGCTAAGTATGCTTTATCTGACCAGTTCCAGTAAACAGATTAGTGGCAACAAATGTCAACCTTTTAAAACTGTTCCTACTCTTTCTTCTCCTCTACTCTCACCCCTTCCACTACTGTATTTTACTGCTTAAGTTTAGCATATGTCACACTTGCACCCCTTCTTCCCTGTTCTTAAGACTTTATAAACACTTCAGAACCTTTAACCCCCAAGCTTTCCTCAGCCATTTGTCCTACTGACGGTCAACATGCTTCTCATCTACTGTGTTCTCTACAACAGACCTTGATCTGTTTGCTTCAGCTGCACATCTTGAGCATTTATACCTGCATTTCAATATACAAAATCCAGAAATGTAGCACCTTTGAAGGGGGACTGTTAATATTTTGTGGACTCAAGGTAACAGCTTTCTCTAAGCCCTGAAAAAGGTATAGATCTGAAAGAAAACTCTTATTTAGACAACAAATAAAATATTTATCTTTGATTAGGTCAGGAACTTATGACCCACTCAATGTGGCCTACAACTCATCCTTCACCACTGGCTAGGGCTCAAATTCTTGTTCACTAAAACCCTGAGAGCCACAAGTTGACTCAAAGCATTGCAAGTCCCCTATTCCTGTCTTAGGTAGGTAAATGACTTACAAAAGAAATTATCTCTCTCCTGATTTGCTGCCACCAACAATACACACTGGTAGTCTTGAAACCCAACCGTACAGTTCCAAAGCAATTAACATAGTCACTTATAATTTTAAAATATTGCTTTTAATTTCCCAATGTTAAAAGCTAATCTAAAAACAAAGAACCACCACCACCAGAACAAAAAACCAGCAAAAACCTCCAGTCAAATATTTAACATAATAATTCTTACATTTGACAACATGGAGAAAATACTGTACAGCATGCTGATACAAGTGGAGAGCTTCCTCAAAGTTCCCTGCTTTATCTTCTTGTGCTGCCTTACTAGCAAGGTCTATTGCTTTCTGTAAATAAGAAATATGATTAAGGTTAAAACTATTAGGCAAATGGTTTCAAGCAAGAATTCCAATATAGGAATACAGTAAAAAAACAAAACTATATTATACACTAAAACATTATCTTGCTTTTGAAACAAGCAGGTTTTACACCAGAGTAGGTCACTTCAAAAATATGAGGTCCTTTTGCCCTTCTTTAAACCAGGAAGGGTCCTATATCCCATCTGACACCCATACCTCATTGAAAATGCTATCCGAAAACTTGGGTGAATATAAACTGTACCCTCAAACAGGGTGGATAACATTAATGATTTCTTTAAAAATTGATTTAAATCACATTTTTTTAAAAAAATGATTTTTTAATTTAAATTTAAATCACAATTTAAATAAAATGATTTTTTCCATTTAAATCATTAAAAAACCAACTAAACTGATTTAATTCAAATCAAATCCACCCTGCCCCCCAACTCATCTGGGATTAGTAATCTGTCATGCACAAGACAAAACAACCTGCCACCCTAGAAGAAAAACTATGAAATGCCCAATTATTTATTTTCTGTTTTCCCACCCATAATATTGTACTTGTTGATTATGGGGGTGGAAAAAACTGACTAGTGCCCCTCCTGCCATTCTGCCTAACTGACCAAGCACAGAATTCACATGAACTCAGCCCATTTACTTAATACTTGATGGACATGTTAGAATGATTATACTGTCTTCTAGGATGAAAGTCTGATGTGGGCAATCTAAGCAAAGGAGTGAATCATTTTCCAGATTTGCCAGCAACTGAAGGTCTGCATATGTGGTGGCGCTGCAGGTTAAACTGCAGAGCCTCTGGGCTGCAAGGTCAAAACATCAGCAGTTCGAATGCACGCGACTGAGTGAGCTCCTGTCGTTTGTCCCAGCTCCTGCCAACCTAGCAGTTTGAAAGCATGTAAATGCAAAAAATCGGTTCCCGAAGCAGGGAACCGATCGTCGTAAAGCGGAAAAAAACCCCATTTGAATCATCGTTTTGTGATCACTATAGCGATCGCAAAAATGTCATTGTCAAGTGATTTCTTCGTCTACCGGGGTAATCGTCAAGCGAGGCACCACTGTAGATAAATAGGTACCACCACAGTGGGAAGGTAATGTCATTCTGTGTCTAGTTGTGCTGGCCATGTGACCACGGAAACTGTCTATGGACAAACGCTGGCTCCACAGCTTGGAAACGGGGATGAGCACCGCTCCCTAGAGTCGGACACGACTGGACAGTTGTCAAGGCGAACCTTTACCTTTGCCTAAGGGCGGCATTCCTTACAACTAAAGAAGAGGGCATAGACATTTGCACATTTATTATTTATCTATAACATATAGATAAAAACTTTGTATGATTATATTTACACATTTGGAAAGCTTTTACTGTGGCATATGTACACATCTTTTTGTATCTCTATTTCTCTTATATGTCTTTTTCAGGTTGCTTTGGTTTTTTTCTCTTATATTTGCAAGCATAAATCAACTTGATTGTATCATGTGACTTCTCCCCACACCACTGATGCACTAACTGTAATTTTGCTTTGAATTTTTCAGTTTCGTTGCTCTATACCAAGAAAACCCTGGAAATGGTTGTCAGAAATCAGAATTGGCTTGAGCCGCGTAATTATTATGCATATATTATCAAAAATTCCTAATATTTATTTATTTATTCTATTTATACCCCGCCTATCTGGTCATTTTGACCACTCTAGGCGGCTATATTAACAGACTTTAATATTAACAGACTTTATATAGTTATCATTTGCATGAACTAAAGAACATTGCAACAGACCCTGCCCACGAGCTCATGATGTGTTTCTAACTTAATCACACAAAACCTACACTACAACATAATCACATAGAAACTACAACAAAGAGTTTTAAAAATGTGTATCTATAGATATAGGCACAGAGAAACAAGAATAAATGTAGGGATAGGGTATGGATACAGACAACCCCACAAGAAGTTACAGTCTTGCTGGGAATGCACAAAGATTTTCCTAAGATTATTCCACAGCACTAACCAAAGTATGTCAATTGAGATTTGAAGAGAAATGACCAGAACGTCTCTGTGCTACTGACCTTCCAACACCTGGAAGTATAACAGTGAGTAAATACAAAAAGAGGAACAACAAGGTCAAAAAAATACCTGTACCCTGCTTCCCCGAAAATCTGGCACAGTGGTTAAACTGCTGTACTGCAGCCAAAACTGTGCTCATGATCCAGGGTTCAATCCCAGGTAGCTGGCTCAAGGTTGACTCAGCCTTCTATCCTTCCGCGTTCAGTAAAATGAGTACCCAGCTCACTGGGGGGCGGGGATGTGTAGCCTACATAATTAACTTCTAAACCACCCAGAGAGTGCTTGAAGCCCTATGGGGCGGTATATAAGCAGCACGCTTTGCTTTTGCTTTTAGTATGATTTTTCAGGATGCTAGTAATATAAGTCCTACCCCCAAAATAAGCCCTAAAGTGAAACCCCATCCTCCACCATTATGCAGCAACCAGAAGATGACATGACTTTATTTGAATAAATGCTGATTGTTGTACATGAAAAAAACATCCCCTGAAAATAAGCCCTAATGCGTTTTGTGGAGCAAAATTTAATATAAGACCCTGTCTTATTTTCAGGGAAACATGGTACAGTGGTGCCTCGCTTGATGACATTAATTCATTCCAGCAAAATCGCTGTAGAGCGAAAGCGTCGTAAAACGAAATAAAAAAGTCAATTGAAATGCATTGAAAACCATTCAATGTGTTCCAATGGGCTGAAAACTCACTGTCCAGCGAAGATCCTCCATAGGGGCGGCCATTTTTCATGCCTGTGCAGCGAGGAATCCATCCCTAAGCACAGCGGGGGGCCATTTTCTTCAGCTGGTGGCCATTTTGAAACCCGGCGATCAGCTCTTTTTAATCGTCGTAAAGCGAACATCGGTTCCCGAAGCAGGGAACCGATCATTGCAAAGCAGAAAAACCCCATTCAAACCATCATTTTGCAATCACAAAAGCGATTGCAAAAATCTCACATGAAGCAGATTCGTCGTTAAACGGGGTAATTGTAAAGCGGGGCACGACTGTATATAAGTTATTTTCAAGGAGTACTGAAAACTTAGAAATATGCCATCATATATTAAGGCATGGATTATATAAATCTGTTGTTGCTTCTGATAAAATGGTGGATTTGTCCTGCAGATCCAACTCAGGGCTCTAGAGTTGTTTTTAAGTTCATACATTTCAGATGTAGACAGAAGCAGATCCAAACACCAAAATTATCTTGGTGCAGAGAGCAACTGTGAGTAATAAAGCACATGCTTTGCATGCATAATGCCCGAGTTTCAACCTTAATATTTCTGAATAGGACAGAAAAGACTCTCACTAGAAACTGGAGAACCACTACTAGTGAATGCTGATAATACCAAGCTAGAATCAATGCAGTAATTAAAGCATTGGAAGATTACTGTGTTCTTATGTCTCAAGACACACAGGTTGAAGCTGCTGTATCCACAGAACATTTTGATCTCTTCATAGCTTCTCCTCCACAATTATGGCAGCAGAAATCTTACAATCTATTCTAAATTGACATTTATTACTCTGGCAAAATGCTAGGTGAATGAATATAGGACACTGTTAACAAAATTCTCCTTCCACACTTTTCATCCTTAATGCTGTACCATCTGACCACACACTCCCCACTTTACCATGCACAGACCATTCCATGTGGCTACATTCTTGCATTCTGTATCACTACCACCATCAACAACATTTCCACCTTTTATCCATTGCACTTAATTTTTAAAAAAGGATTCATAAAATCATATTCTGAATCATGTAATCCAGCCAAATGTTCTATGTTTAAAGGTGGCATGATGACTATGAATTACCTCAGGCTGAAAAATGGATAATTTTTGACTGAGTGTGATTTGTTCAGCCTATCTGATAAATATAATCAAGCTGGGGAATGTAGGGTCAAAAGATTATTCTCCTTTAAAAGGAATCACTCATAAAATTTGATCCCAAAGTATGTAAAACAGTTCATACTAATTCACTTTGGAGGTTCACACAATTAAAGTGAATCAGAAGTATCTTTACAATACTGGAAATTAAGGGCCCAATAAATTTTCTGAAAACACAAAACAATATAGCTTTGCTCATGCCAGGTAAACCTGGAACTGATTTGGAATCTAGAGAAACTGATAAAAGCTCCAAGTTAGAGAAAAGGAATAAAATATTTAAAATAAAACATAATTAAAATACACCAATTGACATTATAACACATGCCACTGAAAACCATAGTGAAGCCATGGTGCAGTCCCAAACAGATAAGAAAATCTGCCAGCATGAAATATTCCCAGGAGGTTCACAGACCAGGAAGGCCAGTCTTCCTCTTTAATTTACCAATTAATTACTTGCCCAAGTATCTCTCCCCAGTGCCATCTGCCAAACCCACCAGATTCTCCCAGGCTTTGCTTCTCTGGGTATCCACTCCAAAGGAGGTTGCACCTTCTATGCAGCAACACCAACACTGTGGAGCTAGCTGCCCATGGAGCTACGCCTGGCCCTCTTCCTGTTAACATGTAGAAGGCAACTTAAAACACTGCTTTTCAGAAAAGCTTTCCACGCTGGCCCCATTTGATTTTATGGCTGCTGCCTTGCTATCACATAAAGAATTTACCTTTAGTGCCATCTTGTTAAAGTTTTTAACCTTATTGTCTATTTATAGTTTATTAGCATATGTTCCTATTTACTGTTGTAAATCACCCAGAATAGTGCATTGTACTAATAGGGCAGTATATAAATAAAAATAAAATAAATGATTTACTCTAATAAGCTGACATTTTGAGGAATGCTGCCACTGAAAGTCTTCCCAAACTTGGGACACTCCTGACCTACTGGATTACAACTCACATCACCCCCTTCAGGCAGCAGGTTCACAGGGCACAAAGGCCACAGTTTTCCTCTGTCATTTACTCCAACCAACTGACATTTAGAGGAAGGGTGCAGCTCTGCTCATAAACCTCAAAGCCTTCCCAAATCTGGGAGGATCCTGATTTGCCAGATTGCAAGTCTGATCACCACCCTGCTGCCAGTAGTGGGTGGGAGCTGACGTCCAATACATCTGGAGCAGCAGATATTTAGCCCTAAACGGGTCGAGGCCTCAGTACATGATAGAACACCTGCTTCCAAGAGGGACTTCCTATCCTACTCATGCATCCCATGTTGGGCAACTGAGGATGCCGAAGAAGAAAACAAATAACTGGGCTCTTTCTGTGCTTGTTCCCTTGCTCTGAAATGAACGGTCGCTTGAAATTCACCTGACCCCTTCTATGAAGACCTCTAAGAAATCTCTGAAAATTCTTCTATTTCGGCCGGTTTTCGAAACTGCACCATTTTAACAGCCCGCAGAGATTATACATTTAACATCTCTAGCCACCGCCTGAATTTAAATTAATTTTAATTTTTTGAATCATGTTTGTTTATATGTCCATACTGTTAACTCCTGTAGACCTCCCAGAGGTCAGATGGGCGTTTTAGAAGAGTAATAAATAAATGAATGAATAAATTAATATAAAATGTAAAAAAATAGTCCACTGACAACAATCCACAAAATTAACCACCTGTTGTAGGGAACGCCCTGACCGCCTCTAATGACGACTTTCCTAACTCCCTCTACGCCCCGTCCTTCAGCGTTTCAAGCAAGGCCTCTTCCTCGTTCTCAATCCCAAAAACCAAAGTGCCCGGCTGAAAGGGCTCACCTGCAGGTTGGATGTGGCCGCCATGACGGGCGGGGCTGGCAGGGAAGGGGCGAAGACCGAAAACAGAGGACCAAGGAAGCGGAAAGAGGACCCCGCGGAGAACCTCCCTCACGGAAGAGCCTTCCTTTCCGCGGCAGGAAATGAAAACCTAAATGGCTTTAATATTTAAAACCAAAAAAAAAAGGTTTCGGCCTTCGGTTGGTTACTTCCGTAACGCAGCCCCACACCCGGCCGAGACAAAACTGAAAGGAACCTTCCGCTTCCGCTTGGCTCTGATGACGTCACGCAGCGCGCCCAGCCGTGCCAATAAGGGGCCGAAAGGAAGGGCGGCAGAAATGAAGCGACGGCGCGGAAAGGAGGCGCGGGCGTTTGTTTTATCTGTACGCATGCGCAGCAGCCTCTGGTCTTTCTCCCTTGTGTCTTAAGCATTCGCGTGTAGGCTTCCTCTCAGGGTGGTGTCATGTCTGTGTTCGTTGCGCTTGTCGGATTCTCACTTCAGCTCCTAGCAAAACATGCAGCTGAAAATACCGTTGCCATCAAGACGGATGGGTTAATTTACAGCTGGGGGAGAATATTTAATTGGCGAGTTTCCCTTACCAGCGTTATCGCTAGCGTCTGAGGGAAGCGGACAGGAAGACGTGTTCACGTTCATAGTTGAGCTGAATGGCGGGGCATGTAAAACGAAATACAGGACTGTACTTCTTCACACAAATATGTCAGGATGAAATTCGCTTCCACAGTGTGTAATGGATAGCTAAAAAAATCTGGACAGCTGTAGTGGCTCCTAGTCAACCTCCAGTATCCCAGGGCAGTATATCCTGAAATCGGAGAAAGCAACCGGGAAGATGGTAGTTTTTTAAAAAAATCATTTTTCATTGTGTCAGGGAAGATCATAGGGAAGGGGATTTGGAACAAGGCACTTGGGTAAATGGTAGTTTTTGAAGGAGTAATGTTAGTCTATGCAAGCATAGCAGACAAAAAGGAAAGAGTGAGTGAGTGTGTCGAAAGCATTGTGGCACTTTAAAAACTAATGTTTTTAAAGTGTCACAACAGAGCACAGAGTTGCTGTCCTCTGAAGATGCCGGCCACAGAGACTGGCGAAACATTAGGAAGAACAACCTTCAGAACACGGCCAAAGAGCCAGAAAAACCCACAACAACCATTAGATCTCGGCTGTGAAAGCCTTTGCGAATACAACTAATGTATTTTAATATGAGCTTTTGTGGATCAAGGCCACTTCCTTAGAACTAAGAGTGAGACTACATGATGTCATATTTATGCATAGCCCTATGACCAGGGAAGATGCTATTATTCCTAGGATTGTGCTTTTTAACTTTCCATAGGTATTTGGTTGGGTACTATGAGAAAAGCATGTTGGACTAAATGAGTTTTTTAAAAATACTTATTTTGATATGAGCTTTTGTGGATCAAGGCCACTTCCTTAGAACTAAGAGTGAGACTACATGATGTCATATTTATGCATAGCCCTATGACCAGGGAAGATGCTATTATTCCTAGGATTGTGCTTTTTAACTTTCCATAGGTATTTGGTTGGGTACTATGAGAAAAGCATGTTGGACTAAATGAGTTTTTTAAAAATACTTTTTTTATTATAAGCTACAACTTAAAGTACATAAACCAAAATACAAATAAATTGTGTTTCCGACCACCCTAGTCAGAACCTCTTCCAGTAGTTGTTTTCTTCTATTGTCTTTATTTTTCTTCCTTTATTGTCCTCCAGAAGATTCCTGATTTGGAACTTTCCCCTTTCCTTTTGTTAGCACATATTCAATAAATCTGCCCCAAATATCATAAAAATACTTTTATCTCTCTTAACCTTTAAGTTATGAATTAATTTATCATTTATAGTAATATTTCATTATACCATTCTTCCATTTGAAATTCAAGTTTTGATTTCCAATTCCTGGCTATTATTAATCTGACTGCTGTTAATAATTTGGTTATCAATTCTCTAGTCATCATATCATATTCCACATTTACAAATATTGATAACAAAGCTCAGGATTAAGTTCTGTATCCCTTTCACATATGTCAGTTAATTCCTTAAAGATTAATTTCCAAAAACATTGTGCTTTTTCACATTCCCACCACATATGAAAGTCTGTACCAATTTCCTTCTCACATTTCCAACAGATATTCAGATAATTAGAATTAATTTTATTCAATTTTATTAGTGTCAAATACCATCTTAAACTTAGTTTTTAAAAAATTCTTTTACCTACTGTCACCAACATAAATCGTAAAAACCTCATTTTCCATATCTTCATTCTTCACCATTTATTCTTTTTCCTAAATCTTGTTACCACGATAGCTTCAATCCTTCATTCTCGATCTCTTCTTCTTCGAAATCTAGAAGTCTATAAATTTTACTTACTACACCCTTCATTTGATCTTTCGATCTCATTATCCAGCCAATCATTTAATCTCTATTTTTTTAAAAAATAATTCTAAATAGACTTAGAATTGGCAGGGAAATTCACTATTTCAGTCACTAATCTTAATGGAGAGTTAGATGAAAATAATTCTATTTTTTTATTATTCTGAACAGATGTTTTTCAGTATCAGCCTGTACTTCTGATGATTCCATTTCCCACCAATTTAACCTTTCGGGGTTATATATAATTTCCACAGTAAACCTAAATTGATTAGCCATATAATAATTTTTAATATTTGGTATATCTATACCTCCTTTTATTATTGTCTTATACCACTACCTTTTATTTATTCTGGCTTTCTTCCCTTCATTACAATATCTATTAATCAGTCCTTGCCAAAATTTGTAATTGTAAATGAGGTTTTGATGACTCCTCATGGCTGCTTTTATGTTTTATGAAAACATTCTGGATGGCTGTTTCTTGGTCCAAAGATGGTAAAAATAAAACTGTATGCTTAAAATAAAACTGTATGCTTATTCATTCATGTTGAACTCAGTGAAACTTAAGAGTGCCCACACATGATAATACTATAGTGCTGCAATCTATGTACAGTGTATTCTTGAAGGCCTTCATGGCCGGGATGTAATACTATAGTGCCGCAATCTATGTACAATGTATTCTTGAAGGTCTTCATGGCCGGGATCCCATGGTTGTTGTGGGTTTTTTGGGCTGTTTGGCTGTGTTCTTAATCTATATACACTTCAACTGAAGAAACTGCTACTAAATAGTATGAGACTTACAAATAAACTTACTCGCTTTGTTTCAGAGCAAGGCTTCCTAAACATGCATTTACTTATGAATAAGCAGATAATAGACCCCAGTTGTCAGAAGTGTAGATGTTCCTCTCGAAACAAACTTCTGGTGGTTAATAGGCCATATTCAAAAGTATATCAGACAAGAAACGAAACAACAAAAAATAAGACAAAAATGTAGCACCCTAAAGAGTAACTGCTATACTTTAACATAGGCTTTTGTGCATCAGATCCACTTCCTCAGCCATAAGAGTGAGTATATAGCAATCATTTACAGTATACATGACCCAGTGACCTGGTAGGGATACAGAGATCAAAGTGACAATGGTTGATTAGTATAGTAGACACAAGTCGCAAATTGTGTGAGTCATTGTGGCATTTTACACATTGACTCACAATTTGCATCTCATGTCTACTATACTAACCAACCATTGTCACTGTTTGCCAACAAACTTGAACAGTCTCATGAAGTTGAAATGCAGTCTTTCAGTTAGCTTGGACTCAAGTATTTAGGACTTTACAAGTCAAAAGCTATAGTTTAAAACTGCCAGTGGAGCTGTTTTAACGGGAGTCATGTGACAACTCCTCCTCCACACACACACATAGTAGGCTCCAGTTAACAATCTGAATGTGACATTTTGGATCCACTGAAGTTTCCGAATGCTTTCCAAAGGGAACCTCATGTAGATTGCATTACAGTAATCCAAATGGGATGTAACTGAGGCATGTGGCACCATGGCCAGGTCAGACATATGACAGCACAGCTGGTACATGAGGACTACAAGTGTACTCCTGGCCACTGTTGAGACCTGAACAGCCAAGCTCAGGAATGAACATGAGCACAATCAAATTGCAAACCTGTGTTTTAAGGGGGAGCGCAACCTTCTCCAGCACAGCTTGAAATTCTATTCCCTGATGTGTCTTTCAGCTGATTAGGAACATCACTGTCTTGTTTGTGTTAAGGTTCAGTTTATCCATGTAACAATTCATCCTCATCCAGTTCATTACTGACACCACATACTGATTTAGAATCAAAATAACTTCCTTAGAATTAAGTGAAAAGGAGAGATAGAGTTGGGTGTCATTGACATATTGATGACTCTGAATCCAAGACAATCTTTCCCAATAGTTTCATATATATATTAAATAGCATTGGAGACCAAACAGAACCCTGAAGGGTGCCACAGGTCAATGGCCAGGGAGCTGAACAAGAGTCTTCCAGCACCACTTTTTGAGTTCCTCCCTCTGGCAGCTTTTATAAGCCAAGGAGGACAAGGGTTCATGTCATATAATGGCTCTCACTTCTCCAAGGATCCTGTCCACATGCCCAGGCGACAAGAACTAAAACTTATGCAACTAAAACTGTAGAGTCACTCATCTTCAACTTATGAAGATGAGTGACTCTACAGGGTCATTGGCACTCATACCTGAAGATTACCTTTCAACATATGACTGCTATTAGTTGAAGTCTACTCAACAAGTTTTATGGCCAGTTCTGTCTTCATGGTAGCTTAGGACAGTAACAATTAGGATATGAGCCGTTCAGTTACGAGCTCCAAAGCTATGGATCTTTCTCTTTTAAGATGTGAGCCTCGCAACTGATTGCAATCACTCACAACAAAAAAGGGGGTCGACCAATGTGGCCACCCACTTAAATATGCCCTGCTCAGCCCATGCCCCTCATCTGTTCTCGGGCGAGCCTTGTAGCCTTGTGTGGTATCCGGGAGGCTGGCAAAGGCAACGCCTCCTGGGGGATCCCTTCTGGCTCCCTCCTAGCATTAGCATTATGGTTAACAAAGGGTTGTTTGTTGTTGTTTTTAAGGAGGAAAGAATTGTATGAATGTGTGCACTATGGTGGGCAACTACAAGCCAAGAGTGTTAGCAGTAGGGCAGTTTGCAGATTTCTAGATCCTGTAGGAATTCTTGGCAAGTATTGAAACACCTTGTCCAAAGGTTTTAGTTGTTCGTAAGTCAGTTGACTGCAATGATAGTGAATACTGTACTTGAATTTAGTAGGTTGTTATTATAACTGAAGACAGCAATGAAATTTGACACCACACAAGCTGCCCCTTGTGAAATAACAG